TTGTTTTTCTGTAGGTGTTTGAGGTTCAAGAATGTGAACGAATAAACTTCTTCCGGAATGCATTGTGGTTACACATGAATCAGCTGTCACAACAATGTGTCACAAGTGATGAGGTAAGTCCGAGGCATCACAGAGGATTGTCGCGGTGTAGAGTGGAAGTGCGGACCTTTATGAGTTTCCCACCACCACCTCATTTGAGGCCCAGAGAGGTAAAGTGACTTGCCCAAGGCCACACAATGGAAGGACCCAGATAAACATGTAACCTGACTAACTCTTGGTCCATTTTACCACTATGATTTTCTCATTAAGAAATTTAGAGTTAGGCCAGTCCAAAGGTGGTGAGATAGATCCATCAATGGCTCACACTCAGTTATGGATTGAACTCAGTATTCTATTTCCTCATCCCCCTTTTGTCACTATTGCATTTGACTGGTCTTAAAAAGAAAAACAAATTCAGAGTTAGGGCTGGAGGACAGAGACAGGGACCCAAATCCAGTTTTAGAGATGTCACAGCATGAATGCGATTCCCAGAGACTCCTGCTAGATTGGGGTCACTCCAGGGCAGCACCGAGTACTAGCAGACTGAGCCCTGCCCAGGCTCATAGTCACTCCAGGGCTCAGGATTTATTTCAACAGCAGCACTCTCAAGCCATTATCCAGGTTTAACTTGTGCACGGCAATAGTAATGGGCCCCCTAGGTTTCAGAGGCACTAAATCAAGTTATCATAACTTTCTTTGTTAAGAAATATCCACCCTCATTTAGATGGGACATTCTTCTTGGAAGAACAATAAACACCCAGAAAACCACTAGAATTGAATGGAAGAATTCTCCTTTAAGTATGTGTGTGGCATTGGTCTTGTGTCATGGGACTTGATATCTGTTTTTTGGTCCCATCAATATTTAAAATTTTTTCAGCTGAGGCTTTTGTCCTGCCACAAAGATACATTTCCCATCAATAAAAAATAATTAATAGCAGAAAAACATCAGAGAAGAGCCCGAAAGTGAGTCTGGGACTTGGGAATATCATTTTTTCTTCATTTCAAAACAACACAATTTGGAAAAGAGCCATTTATCAAACCTCTTTTAATAAGCTCTGTCACAATTATTATCAACAGCTGGGTGTGCTGGCAGGCACCTATAGTCCCAGCTACTCGGGAGGCTGAGATGGGGAGGACCACTTGAGCTGAGGAGTTCAAATCCAGCCTGAGCAATAGAGTGACACCCGTGTCTAAAAAAAACAAAAGAAAAGAAGAGAGGAAACAATTATCAACATGCTCCTGCTTATTGACCTACCTTTTTTATGATAGATGTATGAAAACGTCCGTAAGAGTTTAGAGATGTGCAGCATTGAGAAGGACGTCGAATACTTTGTGAATCAACGAAAAACTGGACAGACTCCACCAGGTGAATGGGGCAGGGGGCGGGGAGGGTCATTTAGGCAATTCTATTAGTGTTGTTAGATGTTGCTCTGGATGGAAGACGCTGTCTCCTAATGTTTTGTTTCTCGATGCTCCTCCTAGCACCCATTATGTATGAGAATTTCTACTGCCCCCAGAGGAGTGCAGCCCCACTGGGAAAGGTTGCAGCACCTAACTTGGCAAGGTAATAACCGGCGGCCTTTCAAGGAAAGAAAAATAGTTGTAACAGATTTTGTTAATATGGACGTCCTAAGACATATTAGAACACATATATCGCTGCATTTGCCTAGCAAGGTTGCTAGCTTTTTGGAAACATCGTTTTTAGGACAAATGTTAAAAGGATTTTACTAGTCAGAGTTCAGGGAGGACTATAGCCTACTCGAGTGTGAGCATTATTACTCACTTATGGATGGATGCTACACCTTCCTGATAGCCTGGAGAAAGCAGGAGCAAACTCTAGCCTCCTGGGAGGTAAATCTGATCTGCCGATTTTTGTAAGGCCGGTGAGTTAAGAATAGTGCTCACATTTTTAAATGGCTGGAAAAGAATCAAAAGGTTGTTATTTGGTGGCATGTGAAAATTATATGAAATTCAAATTTCAGTGTTCCTATATAACATTTTATTGGAACACAATTGCTGTCAGTCACTTATGTTTTTATCTACGGTTCGTTTCCTAGCAGAGTCGCGAAGAATTGGAACAGACGCGATACTTAGCCAGCAAAGCCTAAATCATTTACTATTTGGCCTCATACAGGAGAAGTTTACTACCCCTCATATAAAGGATTCTGAGGGGAGAGAAACTTCTGTCTCACATGGTGTCAGCCTGACAACTAAACTTTAAAATTTTTAGTATATGGATAGGCCTGGTGGCTCACACTTGTAATCCCTAGCACTCTGGGAGGCTGAGGTGGATAGATTACCTGAGCTCAGGATTGAGACCAGCCTGACCAAGAGTGAGACCTCGTTTTTACTAAAAATAGATAACCTAGCCGGGCATCATGACAAGCACCTATAGTCCCAGCTACTCAGGAGGCTGAGGCAGGAGGATCACTTGAGCTCAAGAGTGTGAGGTTCCTGTTAGCGATGATGACCCCAGGATAACAGAGTCAGCCTCTGTCTCAAAAAAAAAAAAAAGAAAAAAATTTATTTTCAGTCTAGGTGTAGTAAAGATGGGGAGTGTTTGGGAAAGATTGCATCATCATCATCTGTAAGAATGCCAGGCACTGTTCCAAACAGTTAATATAAGTGCTTGCTTCAGTAGCACATACACTAAAATTGGAATGACATGGAGGAGATTAGCATGGCCCTTGCTCAAGGATGAAACCCCGATTTATGAAGCATTCTATATTTTTAAGAGAAAACCAATTAATGTGAACGAGCTGATTTAATCTTCACAATGAGATAGAAGCTGTTTGTATTTCCCATTTTACATATGAAGACATTGATGTACACAGGACTCAGGAAATCTTTCTCCTACAGCTGAGACTTTAATTTTGCCAGTCTGGGTTGTGGGGGCAGGGCTCTGGGCTCCTGATCACTACGCACCCTGCCTCTCAGCAAAATATAATATGACATCTGCAGCTCAAATTTCAGTGGATCTGTGCTACAGATCATTCGCTTCATTGGCTGAGCTCACTTGACCTTCCAGCACAGCAACCAGATCTGATGAAAATACAATATGCTTGTAGTGTGAAGTAGAAAATTATGAAAATAACACAAACTCATTTTCAACTCATTTCTTATAGGAGAGGACCTCTCCCAATTCCTAAAAGTTTACCAGGTATGTCACCCGGAAAAGCCTTTTAAATTTCTTACGTTCGTTTTTCTTTAAAGTTGAATAATTAGAATTTTGAAATAGAGGGAAGGAAAGGATAAAATAGAATTAAATTCTCAGAAGAATGAGCCTATATGGAAATCTCACGGTAACACTATTTGTCACTGACTGGAACATGGTGATCAGTGGACTATTTTATAGCCTAAGAGAATTCAGTAACCAGAGTACCAAAGAAACTTATTGTAAGGCAATCTTACCTGGGAGAGTATCTTAACTTGGACCATGAGAAGAGCAGAACTGACATATGGTTCCTTTTGGGTTATATAGCAATGCCATTTATAGAAGGCATAGGTGTCGTTAACTTAGCTTTATCCATCTTGTGCACTGCCTACAATGAGATCTTTCACTACTCAACGTTGGTCCCTTTTTTCACTGAACTCCTGTGATCCCTCTAAGAGAACTACTCATCTTAACAGTTTGAGTTACTTGTATGTCCTGGGTAATACAATAGTAAGACCCTAAAGGCAGGTGCTTTGTCTTCTCCTTTATCACTCACAGGATCTGATATGGTTCTGAGCACATACCGTGTTTCCCCCAAAATAAGACACTGTCTTATATTTATTTTTTCTCAAGAAGACACGCTAGAGCTTATTTTCAGGGGATGTCTTATTTTTATTAAGTATAATACAACAATCCACATTTATTCAAATACAGTTAAGTCATCTTCTTCTGGAACCTGACAGGGGGAGCCGATCTTGTTGGTGGGGCTGGCCTAGTGATGCATGAACTCCTTTCCCCTAGCCGTTCGCACATGCACAGTAGGATGCCTGTGACCATGGTAATCACCCCTGCATCCGTGCAAGTGCGAAAGGCTTGGAGAAAGGAGCTGTGGCAGCTAAAAGGTATTCCAGTCTTCCTTACTGCTCATCGCTGAAATGCATGGCCACACCCATCACTAGGTCTTACTATCGGGGTAGGGCTTATATTTAACTAATGCATAGAAATCCTGCTAGGGCTTATTTTTTGGGTAGGTCTTATTTTCAGGGAAACACAGTAGTAGGTATTCAACAAGTGTTTATTATTTGAGTAGAGAAAAAAAACCTATCTATGTTCAAGAAGATGAGAGATGAGGACAACTTATGCTGCATTGAGCTTAGTAAAAATTTAATGACTAAAAACATGTGTCTGGATATCTTTCAGCAATATGAGATTTAAGTTATTTTATTTCTCATTGTTTTACAATTATCATTTGATAATGTAGGATGTCATTGTTGTCCACTTCTGAAGATGATTTTACTACGGGTGCTGCTATCTAGGCACGGACGAAAGAGGGCAAAGCAGTCAGAATAATGATTTCCGGATTTCCTCTAGTTTACAGTCATGACTACGGTTTATTGGCTTTGTTGCTAGATATATTTTATCCTTACAGAAGGGCATTTGCCAGAACCTGTAAGTGGAACGCTTTGGTTTGAAACTGGTTACGATCGTATCGTGAAAATATACGATTGTAATACTGTCCTGTGTTCTACCCTCTGCAGAGGACCCTGGTTATGCCACGATTGGTGACTACAGTTTGCTCTATCAGTAACATCAAGGGTAAGGAAGTTACTTTGCACATCATCAAGCTGCATTTAGACTGGTGACTTTGTTTTTGAAGGTTTTGAAACTTCTTTATACCTAACACCACCACCAACAGCAAGGCCCTGCATCAGGCAAACACACTGGCCAGAGTGGTGCCCCTTCGGGATGCTTCTCTGAATCCTGTAACTACAAGCAGACTGGAGCCCACTCCATACCTATTTGGATGAGATACTTTCCCTTTGTTGATTATTCCATAACTCCATATCTGCTCTTACTAAGCTTTTAGTTATTACACACTTATGCTTAAGGCAGTGCTTACAAACAAAACACACATGAGCCTCACTGAGTAATCTAGCTTTTGGTGCACTCTTCCATCCCTTAAAAGGGAAAAGTCAAGTAGAAAGAAGCTAGTGGAAATAGTGCAAATGGTATCACACTCACCATTCACACAAGGGCATTGCAGGGGTAACCCTGTGCCAGATTATTAATGCTCTGAACTAGCAAACCACAAGGCTTCTTAGAAGAGAACTGAACACTGCTAAGCCGACCAGGCCTGTAAATACGACTGCCTGGTGGCTCTTCTTTGGCACCCAGGCACTTGCCACATGCTCCAAGTCAAAATCAGTTTTCACCAATGTGAGGGAGTGCCTCAGAAGCCAATGTAGCAATATCAAATGAAACTCCTCATAAAGTATAATTCCTTTACCGTAAAAGGGCATATCTTGGGGGGGGGGTATAACTACATATGCATACATGAACGAAGAAAAGGTGTGTGGGGATAGAGTCCTAAACAGGTAATGCTACATATTTTTTCTTTTACTTTACTCTGTCTTCTAATTTGTCTGCAATGTAAGTTTATTACTTTGCTCACTAAAAACTATTCTAGAGAGTTGATCCACTTGCCTATTTCTGATTTTATTATGTTCCTAGAAGTGACAGGAAGTGGATGAGTGGGCTGCAGGAAGTCATAAGAGAACTGGGCCAGCCCTTCTCCCGCTGTTCCTGGTTTGGGGTTAGACATGCACACTGTCATTTATGAAACAAAACAGTTTGAACAGTGATCCGTCGTGGTTTCTTACAGGGTTCCGTATCACTTAAAAGTGAGCACATCCAAAATTGTTTGTCTTCACTCCTCTCACAACTCCTAGTGACTTATAGCCAACTATCTATATGGGATAGAAGCCAAATTGTCTTAATTCAATAGCAATAATCGCCTAGTATTTATTATACACATTTAAGCATGAGTCCTTGAACTGCTTAAGAAATATATTTATACATTTACTATTTAAACAATTTTGCTATAAAGGACATGGAAATTGAAGACATAACATATCTCATTCTCTAACTATATATAACTTCTGACCTACTAATAAATTATAGTCTTTACTACCAGTCATCATTTCTTCTTCATTTCATAAGGCTCCCTCTTTCTGGCCAGGCACAGTGGCTCACGCCTGTAATCCTAGCACTCTGGGAGGCCGAGGCAGGCGGATTGCATGAGCTCAGGAGTTTTAGGCAAGCCTGAGCAAGAGCGAGACCCCATCTCTAAAAATAGCTGGGCGTTGTGGCAGGCGCCTTTAATCCCAGCTACCGGGGAGACTGAGGCAAGAGAATCACTTAAGCCCAAGAGTTTGAGGTTGCTATGAACTATGATTCCATGGCACTCTACCAAGGGCAACAGAGTGAGACTCAGTTTCAAAAAAAGAAAAAAAGCCTCCCTCCTCTTTCTCATGGAAAGGGCAAAGCCTTAAGTAGTGGCAGAGCAGGAACATGGTACATTGATGACTTGGGGTTCAGAGGTGGCACCTGTTTGCCAGAGCACTGTGTAGATGACAGCTGTGGGCCAGGGCATTTTTTTACCTCTTTCTTTTCTGTCTTTATCTGTTTGGCTTAATAGTAGCACTTGACCCAATAACTCTAGTTCCTCAGAGTCTAAGAGTTTGACGTTTGAATACAAGACACCAGTGCAACACATTTACTTGAGTTATGTAATTGCATTGGGTTCATTAGTGTCTGTGTCTTTGCAATGACTGAGGCTGCAACATATATACACATAACTGACTGCATATCAACAGAGAATTTTAAAGGGAGCATAGGTTAGTTAATAACTAAGCAACTTATCATAACATTTAAAATAGTTTCTTTTCTTTTCTTTTCTTTTTTTTTTTTTTTTTGAGATAGTCTCACTATGTCGCCCTCAATAGAATGCCGTGGTGTCACAGTTCACAGCAACCTCAAACTCTTGGGCCCAAGTGATTCTCTTGCCTCAGCCTCCCAAGTAGCTGGGATTACAGTGCCTGCCACAATGCCTGGCTATTTTTTTTGTTGCAGTTGTCATTGTTGTTTAGCTGGCCCAGGCCGGCTTCGAACCCACCAGCCTTGGTGTATGTGGCTGGTGCCATAACCACTGTGCTGTGGGCGCCGAGCCTTAAAATAGTTTCAATGAACCTTTGGAATGGAAATTTAAACAAGATTCAGGATTTTGCAATTTGTTTTGCAGTTGTTGACTTCAACTGATGTTTTTATTTCAATTCTAACATGTTTAGGTAAAGATAGATTATAATTTTTGAATTTAAAAAATCTGTATCAAAAAATATAAATCTGTGTATTATTTACCATAAAGTAATGCTGTTATCATCACATTCCATTTTCCATTATTTGGAATACCCATTCCTCACTGTTTTCCTGGGACAGCACCCTTATTGAATATACTCTCAATGTAGGCTCAGTGACGAACCATTATGGTTCATTAAAATAAAATTTCTTTGTTATTTTCTTTCAGAAAGCAAAGTGTTTTTCCGGCTAATGCTTCTACGTCATGGAAAGAGGCACCGAGAACAACAGCAGCTACAGCCACATTATCTCAATCACGAAGACTTGGAAGTGAACCCCTGCTATAATATTTTGATATTTTAAATTTATGGTAGAAATTTAGTACAACTTAAGCTAATAGAGTTCTGCAGTTTTTTGACAAAGTTTACACATTGCTCCAGCCTGAAGAATTATTCCTTCCTGTCAGTTGCTAAATTTGTGAATGAGTTCTGTTTTGTATTTGGGAAGCAGGCAAGTGCTGACTCTTAAGGGAGTGGAGGTGGCTGCAGAGGAGTCTGAGCCACCAACTGCAGATGAAGCTCCTTTGGCGTTGGGTAGCATGGCTATGGAATTTCCACGGTGATACACACTCTCGGTTTTGCAAGATTTAAAATTATCTTCCTTTTTGGCTGGAAGACTCAGAAGCCATATGATTGTACTTTCCCATTTTACGGATGAGGAAACAAAGCCAAGAAGTATAAAAATCAATGTCCTTCCTGTTCTTCCAGCTGATTAGGGACTAGAACCAGAACTGGAGCCCAAGACCATCCCCTATCACTATTCTTCTGAGCCTTCCTGACGCTGTGATGCTCATGCTGAAATTTAAGATGCCAAATGTTTTTGCCAGCACTGTTTCATTTAGGAAAACTATCAGGGCTTAAATATCAGATTTATTTTTATGTGGATCATTATGTATATTGAAGTACAAAGCACCATATTTTTTATAATTTAGTAAGCCACTGATCATAAAACATGCCATTACTTTATGTTGCACTCGGAAGGTAGGTTGGGAGAGTTGCCAGTGAACTTGTGACCATGCCTATTAGAAAGTGTGTGAAGAAAAGTACATCCCAGAATCAAAGAGATACAGTATTTTGATTCTATTCCTTAAGAGAATTCTCGAGTTACAAAGCCAGTCTTCAATCCTGGGTCTTCACAGAGACTCTCTGCCTTGATAGGCTCTAGAATGTTTAAAGTGTCCATCTCATCCTTACATAAATATTTTGGCCTTTCAGTGTCATGCACAGACAGCAAAGAGATCATCTACCTTTTGTGCCACACTTGCACACTGTGAGGAAATGGTACCTTTTAATTAACAGTAAGTTAAAATCTTGTTTGGTATGTTGGAAAATTCTACATCACCCCAAAGAGAAAATACTATCCTCTCCTCCTCTGCTCAATAGCTTTCCCAGAAGTATGGACAAATCGAAAGAAGATCCATTATTTCCCCACTTTTAATGTAAGATGCTACTGAATGTAGCAGCTTTTTGTCATGACAGGAAGTTTGCATCAGTTGGATATCCTTTTGAGAAACTGAAGTTTGCAAAGGGCCAAACTTCCCCAAACTGGATGGGCTCAGGAAATTTCCCTTCACACTCAGAACATTCTATCTTTAAGTATATTATTTATTGTTGGCAATTCCTCAGGGATTCACTTTTCTATCCGTCTGTGTAATTGATGTAGAAGTGTTTCATGGATGGAAAGTCATATTTTTATTTTATTGCTTCTTTCCATTTGATATGAAGTAAAATAAAGGTTGTTGGTGATTTGGGATTTATTTTGCATTTCTTATGTTGATCCTACTTCTGTCTGAGCTTTAGTTATTTATTTTTTCTCTGAGCTTGACCCCTTGTCCTATTTGGGATTGTTAGACTGCAGAAAGGCGAAGTGCTGATCAGGGAGGCCACATGGAGGTGGGGCCATGCCACAGATGCCAACTGCCACGTCCTCTCCTCTGGGAGGTATCGTCCTGACCTCCAGACTAAGATCCCACTGCTGTTTCCTTCCCCCAACCCCCATTTTCCTTATTTTCACATGATTCACTCTTGAAATTAACTATTGAAGATCTATCTTCTTTCTAAACTAATCTCCATGAGAGCAGAATCTTTGCCTGTCCTTTTTCTTGTGGGATCCCCAGGAACTGACGCATAGTAGTAAATATAAAAGATTTAGTGGCTTATAAGAAAATGTAGCTAGGGAAACAGCCACTTGAAAGAGAAATAAGGAGTATGAAGGAGTGAAGCCAGTTAAATAAACCTATGAGAACTTCAGTAAACATGAGCTACTCTGTAGACTGGTGCTTTGTTTTTGGGTTCTGCCAGAAGCAGACCTGAGATAAATACTTTTCCTGGGGGATGATTTCAGAAGCACCAGTATGGAAGTGAGGATGTGTAACAGAGAAAGGAAGGGAGGGAGGGAGGGAGGGAGGGAAGGGGGAAGGAAGGAAGGAAGGAAAGAAGGAAGGAAGGAGAAGGAATGAAAGAAGGAAGAAAAGAAGGAAGGAAAAACATCAGGCAAGCTCGCAGCTGAAGGTCTCTCCTTATGGGGACTCCTGGGAAACAACACAGAACATACACTTGGGAGATATCTCCCCTGAAGGGTAAAGGAGGCGCTGCCTCACTGACTCCTGCCAGACACTGTTGGAGCGAGGGCTGCTGCCAGGACACAGAGTGGGTTCCAATAGTCTGGAAGGGACGGGGCAGTCAAGCTAGTTTAATGGAATGGGAGGCACTGAGGGGATATGGATGGGACACTGACCACATCTGGTTCCCACACAGGGGATCCGCCTGTGCCCTACATTAATTTTACTCCATCCTATCACTCTGTCAAATCCCAGCTTCCCAAAACAAACACACATAAATGAAACAGGAGGGTAGCAAGACAAGCTATGGTCCCTGCCGCTGTAGATAAGTCCATAACTGATATTCATCACCTCCTTGCTCTACCATTCTGTTATGGGCAAATTATGTCCCCTCCACCACCCCAGATTCATATATGGAAGACCCAGTCCCCAGTACTTCAGAATGTCACTGTGTGCAGAGACAGGATCTGTAAAGAGGAGATTAAGTGAAAATAAGGGCTTTAGGGTAGGGCCCTAATCCCAAAGGACTGGTGTCATTTTAAGAAGAAAAGGAGACATCAGGCGTGCACGTGCATAGAGAGATGATCATGAGAAGAGGCAGCAGGAGGTCACCGGCTTCCCTGGAGGGAACCCAGCCTGCAACTTGATCTCCCTGCTCTTGGATTTCCAGCTTCCAGAACTGTGCGAAAATAAATTTCACTTGTGTAAGCTACCCAGCCTATGGTTTGTTTTTTTTTTAAACAGCTGCTCTAGCAAATGATCAAAAACACATTCCAGTGTCTCCTTACACTTGGCTAGTTCTTCTCCTTGTCTAGGTTGCTTGACTGGTGGGGCTACCTGGACCTTCAACCCTGAGGGATCATCAGCCTATCAGGCTTTTGTTAGACTCTGTTTTAGGATGAGTCAATTTATATTTATCACTAGGCATGGGAACACAAAAAGTCACACCAGTGAAACTCCTGAGTTCCAGATAGATCCGTCCTTATTCTCTTTTCCTCATAATAATCACTAACTCCTATTGGGATTGTTATGACTTTCTTTACTTGCTGGTCGATTGGCATGAAGAAACCCAAATAACCAGGCATTGGTCACAGTTTTAGTGGAACCCTAAACATATCTCCTGGTATATGTATCCCCCACCAGCCTTCTAGAGCTAAGAGCTGTAGTCTGGCAGAGCCTAAGGTTAAAAGGATCAGAAGTACAAATCCCCTTCTGGGTCAGAAGGAAATTTGATGATGGGGTCACTCTCACCTCTTGGCTCCCAGACCTGTGTTTTCTACCTCTCGTAGTCATAACAAACATACCATACTGTGGCCATAAAAACACCAATACCTCATCTTCAAGGCCAGTACCCCAACCCTGTGAAGTCTCATTCTCCAGCTGCTGCACCTCTGAGCAGCCATTCCAACATTCCATCAGGACAGCAGCTTCCAGGTGACATGGTATATAGCAGACAAAGGGAGCCCCCAGACACTGCCTGTTGTCGTGCCACCTTCACTGTAAAGTGAATCTCTTGGTGTAAGCAGGGGTCCTCAAACTTTTAAAACAAGGAGCCAGTTCACTGTACCTCAGACCATTGGAGGGCTAGACTGCGGGCCCCGGGAAGAGTCAGCTGCTAAGCAGGACAGACAGTGGCGGCAAAAACACCCCGGCAGGCTGGATAAATGTCCTAGGCGGGCTGCATATGGCCCACAGGCTGTAGTTTGAGGATGCTTGGTGTAAGGGATGCATTCTCCATGGGGGAAGTATTGCTCCAAAACAAGTAAAAATTGATTTTTAATTGGCAAATCAAACCTTAACTGTTTTTATTTATAAGCACTGTTATCCATATACCGCAAAAACAGAGGTAGTATATCTGTGGTATTGAGGTTTCATGGGAGCGGCAATTAGGAAACAAATGTCTAAAGAGGCTCCTTAGGGGAGCAATAATGGAAAAAAAAATTGAGAAACACTGATCCAAGATCACGTCGTATGAAATTCCATAATGACAACATCACTCTATACCCCCTTGGATAGTGGTGCTGGGCAAGGTACTGCTGTCAGAAAAAGGTGTTGGAATCAGTTCCAGTAGAGGGAAATGTTGCTTCTTTTAGGGTGGAATGGGTTTGATGAGCAAGTGGCTGGATGGTGGTCTCCTGGAAGGCTGGTAACATATTTAGGGTTCAGCCTCGGCCTCTGGGCTAATTGGCCAGACCTTCAGTGGGAGTTGTTAGATCAGGGATGGTGAGTAGGGGGTCCTTTCTTAGCTCTATTCCTGCCTCTGTGGCTACCCTGCCAATGGGACCTCTGAGGAACTACTGAACCATCAGGGACAGAGGCTAGTGAACTCCACTGGGATGAGTCATCCTCGCTACCTGGTTGTGCGGCACCTCCTCCATGACAGGTACTCACTTGTAGACATCGATGAGAGATACAGAGGTCTGTACGTTTGGTTGCACATTCCCAGAAGTCGACCTACATTCTTCTTTCCTAAATTTCTCTGTCTTCAGTTTTCTTTTTCTTTCTTTTTGAGACAGAGTCTCACTCTATTGCCCTGGGTAGAGTCCTGTGGCATCATAGCTCACAGCAACCTCAAACTCTTGGGTTGGAGAAATCCTCTTGCTTTAGCCTCCCGAGTATCTGGAACTACAGATGTCTGCCACTATGCCTGGCTAGTTTTCCTATTATTAGTAGAAATGGGGGTCTTGCTCTTGCTCAGGCTTATGTTGAACTCTTGAGCTCAAGCAATCCACCCACTTTGGTTCCCAATGTCTTCAGGTTTCTAATTTTCCTCTCCGACCAACCAGTCAAGGCATATGGGCTGGGTGTGGTGATTCACGTCTGTAATCCTAGCACTCCAGGATGCTGAGGTGGGTGGATTGCTTGAGCTCAGGAGTTTGAGACCAGCCTAACCCAGAGTGAGACATGTAGTCCCAGCTACTTCAGGGGCTGAGGCAAAAAGATCACTTGAGCCTAGTAGTTTGAGGTTGATGTGAGCCATAAGGCCATGGCACACTACCGAGGGTGAAAGTGAGACTATGTCTCACACAAAAAAAGACATGTGCCACTGCCCAGGAGTCTCTGTATATATTTACCCTGGGCTATGCCTCCTTCCAGAACGGTGAAGCCCAGCAGGCTTGCCTGATGCACTGCCCACTGGGAGTACCTCTCTTCCCCATTGCTTTCCCCAGTCACTCTGAGTAGGGCTGTCCTGTGGCAGCAGTCCATGTGCAGGCACATAGTTAACATATCTAGCTGATCTGTTCTTGGATCAGGCCTGAGATTTTCTTCTTCTCCATCAACTGGGTTGAGGAACACCTTCTATGAGGCCACAGGTATGAGGCACGGGACAGGCAGAGGTGCAACAGAGAAAAGTGACAGATGTGTCTGCATTACCTGTTTGGGTAAAGTATTTGTGCTTTCTGGATTTGCTCAGGCCTGATCCAAATGTACCGCTTTCCCATTGGCTGTGCCAATGTGTCTGCCCAATCCATGACTCAGGGGATCTGAAGAAAGCAAAAGTAATTTAGAAATAACATGACTCCTTTTCATGTTCATGATTATTGTTAGAACTTTATAAAAGGCATGTTTTAAATACTGCCATGGGGTTTTCTGGCTTTCTCAATATTCCCCATGTGACCTGAGCTTGTGATTTTCTTTGGTGTGCAAACAGTAGCTGGTACCAACCTACTTGATTATTCTTTGAATTACTTTTGCCCCCACATCTTTCAGATGCTAGTGATATTGCCCAAGCTCCATTCCAGCCCACTTCCCCACAGGTGAGGCCTCGGTAACTGTGATGTTGCAGCACAGACGTCACCACCATTCCATTTCTAGCAAGGCTCTTGTCATCTGGCCGGGGAGGCATTCATTCCCAAATCCCATCCTGACAATGCCCCTGTCAATCCAAGTACCATTTCTGATACCAATTGCCTTCGTTTGAGGCTCCTCAGTAGGAGGACCTGGGACAAAGATTTGAGATCAAGTAGTCTATTGAGGAGGTAATCTCAGAAAATCCCAGTGTGGAGTGGGAAGTGAGAAAGGGCAGCAAAGGCAGTCAAGTGTGTTATTAAGCAAGTTGCCACTGTGGGAAATGGGGGCTTTTTTCCCCGGCGGAGTCTGGGAAATAGCACAGCACACATACCTCAGAGTCAGTCTACTGGAGGGCTGAGAGAACAGGGTTTCTGTGTTAGTTTGTTAGACTTGCTGTAAC